CTTTTTGATGTGGTGGACTTCTTGGAAGACAATAATAGGCCTTACTTAATTTTATCTTTCATAGAGTGGCGATTTTCTTTTAATATCATAATATTAAATAGTATATGATAATCTTTTATCTATGCTTAATATTATTTTCTTTGCTTAATTTCATAATCCACGTGTCTTTGCTATACCGCATAAGCTTCGAATGAATATTTATATATACTAGGTCGATGTATTTTTGCCGACAACACTGATGCATAAAATATACGCAGAATACAAGCATCTTCTCAAAATATTTTTTATACCTCGTGAGAATATGTGGCGATCAAGGTCTACGACCGCTGCCAAGGAAATTGCGACATGGTTAAGTCATGACTCCCCCTTGGACAACCAAGAAGACATTTTACGAATCATGAATTGGGCAGTTAAGTAGGCTGTCTTTTAGAATAACCTGTATCCAAATGTCCTTAAGGAAATTCTGCCTAAAAAAAAGACAAACACCACTAGCTACTTATAGAGATGAAGGAAATGGTCAGCACTATTAGCAATTATTTACATGGAGAGCGCGAATAAACTATATTATGGTATTGCCATCCTTTGAAAAAGGTTCAGTCAGGTTTATGAGCCTGTGTAACAAGAGCTGCTACTAACGGAACATTTGGTGAAAGGATAGCCCCTGCCTCTACATATAGCCCATCTAATCAACTATCGTAATGAAGAGTATGCGGATGAGGTTTAAGTGTTGAGGCTGTGAAGAGGACGAATAAAATGATCAGTCTTTGAAATTAAGCAACGCAGAAAAAAGACAGAGAAGAACATTGAAATGTGTTCTAATGACTGTGCTCAAAAAAGATTGGAATGTTTCGTTTCAGGAAGTGTGGTAGATCTGCGGTTCTCACATCTACAGATTTCATGAATTTTGGTCACGTTTCTGTTGATGTACGTTTCAAGAGGCGAGACGAAAATTTGTAATAATATTCAACCGTGGCCAAACCTGATTTATGCGGTGATACTGCATCGATCATTGCTCATCAGTCGCCAAGGTGCGCCATCATATGGAATGATGCAAGGTGCTGCTAGTAGCGAAGCTATCGAATACCACGAAGTAGTGACATGCTTAAATGGCACCCTGAAACAGTCACTAGCGAGTCAGTGCCATATATGGCGAAATTTGATCTTGTGTGAATTATGAGCCATTTGACAAACTCGGACGTACGATAATATTATGATGCTTATGCGGTGGCATCTAGGGAATTCCAGTTCCTGAAATATCGTTAGTGGTGGGCGAAACTTGGCTCTAACGAACAAATGATACAAAGAGCTCAGATACCATTTTGCCGTATCCCGTTTAAATGCCTCTATGTTCTCACCCACAGGTTCTCGTCTACCAGGAATGGGACGGTGCAATGCGCCCTGAAATCTGGTGATAAATAAACATTGATCTCTCAATATAAATCTTGCTCAAGGAACTGCAGGGCTGAATATTTGGCACAGAGCATATAATATACCTTCTACTCTTTGAACGATCGACGAAACCGACGCTTCTCGTCGTATCGAACCTTCTAATACTGAAGTACGATATTGTGATATGGGCAAATCATATCCTACTCTGACAGTATTTGTCATTGATTCAATTTCCAATTCTCAGTTGGCATCTTCATGATATCTCTAATCTGAGCGAATCGCTGGATTCTTGAAAACGAATTGATAAGGGTGTATAGAAAAGAGTGAAAAATCATGGTGTGGAGACCGTCGAATCGACAATCTCTTCTTCACTATGGCAGGACAAGATTTTCTTGGCTACAGCGACATTCTTACGGCCCAGGCTGATTGATTTACTGAGAGAACGGTGAGGTAACGAATGTATCAACAATTTATTGTTTACAGTTTACAAACGCGGGACGGCACGCATTTGTGTTCGGGTCCAGTATCTAGCCAGAGTTTCTGAGGGGAGGGAGGACATTACCTGAACAACGACTGGTAGTTTTGCAGTTTGATGGTGCTCACGTAGATGTCCGGCACAACGCGCTGCTTGAAGCAGCCGCAGAACCAGCGGTCGTACGGCTCCAAGCTGCGCAGTGGTTCTGGCAGGAAGTCCCAGGTTCGCAGGAATTTCGGCAGCACGTGAGGTTTGCGCCGTTGCAGGACGCTGACGGTGACGGTGGCCGCCGCTAGCACCAGCGCGACGACCAGCACCGTCACAGCGGCCACCCAGCTGAGGAAATTGAGGCCGAGGAAGACGGCTGGCAGCAGCACGAACGTCCCTATGATGTAGCACAGTGCGAACCACCGGTAACGGGCGCAGATGTTGCCGAGGGCCTGGGAGGCACGAATCGGTAGTCGACGGACGACCGGGATCGAATAGAACAGGAAGATGCTGAAGACGTTGAACATGAAATGGCACAGGGCAAGCTGCAGAGGTGTCTTGACGGTCTTGGTGGCGAACGCGGCGACGATCGCCGTGCCGGTCGTTCCGACGTCGGCTCCGATCTCGTACACCCAGAAGCGTTCCAGGGTGATCACGTCCATGCCGACCAACGGGATCATGGTCGTGCACACGACGGCGCTGCTCTGCACGGCAACCGTGATCACCAGACCGATCAAGATACACACGTAGCCGGTCAGGCATCTCCACCGGCCCTTCAGTTTGAAGTTCAGCGACCGTCGCAGCATGTGGCGCACTTTGCCGCCGAATAACAAGTCCAGAATCTTGACCATGCCTGCGAGGCACGTGATAAGAAACACCAGCGACAGCGTGACCAATATCCCTCCAATCGACTGGTCCGGTAGGTCGACGTTGAGCAAGAAGTGACCTATTAACGGTGACGCTTTAAGGTCGTTTCAGCCACTCCAACCAATCGTTTTATGCTTACACCGGTACGGGTCGTTGTTGCTGTCACAGATGTGCCTGGTGAACGAGTCGTTGGTGGGTTGGCCGAGGGTCATGTTGTCAATCACGTCTTCCTCTAGCTTAAACGCGCACTTACGTAGCTGCCTATAAAGCGGAAAACAAATCATCGTGCCTGAAAGATCAACTCCGTGAACGGCTTCGTGATCTCGTTCAGAAACGTTACACTGGTGAAGTTGGACCGCCGGACGCCTTTGACCATTTCGCCGCTCATCCACACCATGAAACCTGAAAATCCGATTCATGACGTGCCGAGGTTCGCCTGTTGAATGTTACCTGTTCCAAACGCGGTCGCAGATATCCACTCGATCGGAAACAGCACTGCTACCCCGAGCCAGTTGTACAAGTCGTGTATGATCGCGGCCGAGAAAGCTCGGCTGAATTTTGTCCGTTCCTTACTGGTGAATAGCGCGATTATCGTGCTGGTCACCGCCGTCCCTACGTTTGCGCCCATCACCACGTAATACGCCTGCTGGACGGTGAAAGCTGCCAAACGAAGAATCAGCTGACCGTCCAGGTACTCGAAAAATAAGCATCTTACCTTTGGCGTTCACCATTACCACACAGATGGTAGTGACTGTCGAAGAACTCTGCAGAACCGCCGTTATTACGATACCAATCATCAGATTCGCTATTGGGCTTCGCAACACGGCATTATTCTGGAACATTTCGGCAATCGTGTTTCCTGCATAGCGTACAAATTAAATTCATAACTCAGTACACATTGGTCAACGTTTCCAAGTATTGATAAGCGAAGGAAGGACAGGAGATTGGGATACTGTGGCTATGGGAAGAAGCGCAAAGCATATATACTCGAACACTCGTGAGGTACGCAAAGCGCTGTGCACGCGTAATGACTGCCTCTGTCATGGAGAAAGCGGCAGGCTTGCCCGAGGGGGTGGGGGTAATTTGATTCGTTTAAACGACTTGTTTGTCCAGTGGTACATCGGTTAGCGTCTCGTTCTTTTCATCCAAGTTTCTTTTTTTTAAATATGACCAGGTGGGGGCAGAAAACCAACTATTTGGTGGTCATGAAAGAAAACTTGTTGGTTCTGTAATTGTTGCAAATAAGCACTATGGAGTAAGGGTCGGCTTCGATCTTTCCCTTAACCGCTAATTTCCTTCAGTGAGCAATTGACGAAGCTGTTCTACATTAGAAACCGGCAAAGAAACTGGCAGCAGTTCGTTGACTTGAGAACAAAACGGGCCAAAGATGCAAAGTTTCAGTTCATGCGGTCAATTTACCTCGACCTGCCTGATAGTTGACTATCCAGGGGGATAATCCGCATGACGTATCAAATCTATTGTCATTGCCAATTCGAAAACCACTTGTTGCAGAGAGTCAAAGGCACAGATTTCAT